AAACAGTCTACATAGTCAGAGTACGCACACACAGTGCCATAAAGCTAGACAGTATTGCACATACTTTTGTCAGAATCGTCAAATACAACCGCAACCAACCCGAACTCGACGAGGTCAATTTTGGAAAAACAGGAAACCCCATACACCTTGTGGCAGAGCTTCTTAGGTTTATAAAGAGCTGAGATTCACCCCTCACCCAAACATTTAGAGAGTTGTTATATAAACTCTTCTCACACCCAAACCTCGAGAAGTACGACATCAATTAGCTGGAGCCCACCGCGAGGGGGTCGAAAATTGAATCAATCAGCTACCCAAAAGGTTATCTCAGACACCTGACAACCAAAACTGTTCAAGCAACACATCTACCAAAACAGCACTTAGGTTCCCTGAAAGAATGTTTGAAGGTGCACCTAACAGCAGGGCACACAGCCCAACTATGCCAAGTGAATTTTCATCTATAGGATCAATGAAGTCGATTATGGACATGCCAGTTGAAGGAACTAAGCTGGCGCCCAAGCTATTCAAAGGAGAGGCATCTGAAGTCGAGCCATTCTTGCGTAGATATGAGCGCTTGGCCACTTTGCACAACCTTACAGCCAAAGAACGGTGCGAAACAGTCACAGACTACTGTAGCCGTCATGTACGAGAGACAATTGAGGGCTTCAAGGCTTATCACGAAAGCAACTGGGATCAGCTGAAGGCAGATATTAGAAAGTATTGGAATGCAGACCTTGAATCTAAGAGGTTCCGGGTCAAGGATTTAGAGGTCTTTGTTGCATACTCACAGCGCCACAACATTACGGAATTGCGACAGTGGCGGAAGTATTTACGGAACTTTATCCGTGTAGCAGGATGGCTTCACAGCCAAGGCAAGCTATCAGACTATGACTATGCATATCATATGTGGATAGGACTCCACCCACGGTTCCGTACTAGGCTTGAGACCCGGATTCTGCTTGAACAGCCCAACCATGACATGTCAGAGCCGTTCTCGCCTGAAAGCATCACCAAGGCTGCTGAGGTCATACTCAGTATTCAACGCTTTGACACTGAAAGGCTAGGATCTGACGAAGCTTATACATATGACTCTGAGAATGAGAAGGAGTTGAGGAAAGATGATGGTGAAAAGAAGCGGGCACGGAAGCCCAAGCACTCTCCAGTGTTTGATGACAGCGACACAGAAGAAGAAGATTCAGATAACTACTCAAAGGTATTCCGGTCTCCATCACGGGAACTGTCAAAAGAGGAAACAGCATCCTCAAAGAAAGAGCAGAAGGGATTATCCTCAGATGATGAGTTTGACAAACTTGTTGACCAGATGCAGTCTTTGTCGCTTGAAGATCCCAAATATGGAATCCTGTTTCTCAAGGCATGCAAGTTGAGGCCCATGGCTGCAGATTGCCTTCGGAGGCCAATGATAAATGTCGGGATTGTGCCTCAGAATATGAGTAGAGATGCACCTCCACATATGAACCAGCCGAACCCAAATAGGTTTCTGCCACGGCGTGGACCTCCAGCACCACCTGGAAATGGATGCTTTGGCTGCGGAGAAATAGGACACATCATGAATGACTGCCCAAAGATTCAGGAGATGCTCAACAAGCGCGTGGTTCTCAGAGACTATAGAGGTAGGTTAACACACCCTGATGGCGCAGTGTTGCGTCGTGGGCATGATGAAAATTGGATGCAGGCAATAAGCCGTCAGTTTCCTGAAGTCCATCTCATAACACGTGTTGATGACTTCGAGGACGGCGATGAGAATGGCAATGGCACAGCAGATGTAATGGTGTTCCCAGTAGAGCGGAGCCAACGTGAGACCAGATCCTACCGTAGGCAAGTCAACGAGAGTCCCCGTGCATCACAGATAGACAAAGGTAAGCAGCGAGAGGCAAGGCCAAGCCAGCAACGTGCGGCATCACCAGCACCAAATTTGGCACAGAGGCCTAAACCAGTCGACACTCAGCCTCGTTCATTTAATCCGGACAATGATGTGGAGATGGTAGAGGACCGGACTCAGATCAACAAAACAAAGGCAGCAGCACCATCAGCAGCACCAGTAGAGAAGCCTCGTCCACCTATTAGGACATCTCAGCTTAGTAAGGAGATTGATCCAAATACTATATTGGACAAGATCCTAGATTCCCAGCTAACACTTACCGTGCGGGAAGTAGTAGGTGTCTCTAAGGAGGTAGCAAACCGACTCCAGGATGCTATCAAGGTGAAGCGAGTAGACTTTGCACAACCAGCAGTGTCACATTTGGTAACAAAAAGCAAGCGGGATGCACTGATCCATATAGAGATGAAGTATAAGGATGCCCCAATAGACTTTATAGTTGACACTGGATCTGAGTTGAACATCATCAGCAAGGACGTATACGACACCTTTGAGGGATTGATGATTAACCCAGCTGAAGCCGTAACCATGCGGGACGCCAATGGAGGATCATCAAAGTTGCTTGGATTGGTCAGAGAGATACCACTCAAAGTAGGACCTATCTATACCCCCATTGATGCATATGTTTCGTCTAGTCCTGCATTCGCTGGAGTGCTCGGAAGACCATGGCAACGAGAGCATCAGATTGGTATTGAGGAGCGGGAAGATGGCACATATCTGACATTCCCTAATGAGGATGGAGTAAGCCGTTCACGTTTGCGGGTTCCGGAAGCCAATCTACGAGAAGTTGGGTCAGGAAGATCCCGCACCGCCTATGAAGGTGAAGTGTTCTCGATAGTCAAGGAATGGACTCCACAAGAAGCACCGGCCCGTGTTGCTACTATAGAATCTCAGGAAAATGATGATCTGGATGAAGACATGCCAGACTTGGTTTCTGACAGTGAAGCCTCTCTTGAGGAAGGTGAGATCCGACAGGATAATACACAAGTAGACAACAGAATGGCCATAGAGTCTGTAAACGCTCAGGCATCGGACAAGACCGAGGATGAGCCCACAAACGATGATGACTCCGAATCGGATGATAACAAAAGTATCAGCCACAGGGAAAGATACATGAGGAATTGGGTAGACTCTCTGGATGATCAACACGCTCAGGTTCTCTTCAATGTGTTGTGGGAAGGAGTTATGGCAGAAAGGCGGAACCCCCCAAACCGTGCGGGACCATGCACAGTCCTCTCAGATACATCATATAAGTTGGCACCACACCCACTTAGTTCAGCAGTTCAGCGGTATCTTTTGAGAGATGCAAAGCTGCTTACAGAGAAGGGAACTCAACGAGGCCATATGATAGTTCATGTGCTGCCAGATGCTTCACCTGAATTGACCGAATATGAGCAGCTTGTTGGAACATCTCTTAGAGGCACAGGAGCAGCATCTGATGTGTATAATCTCAGT